GATAGATAGATAGATAGATAGATAGATAGATAGATAGATAGATAGATGGGCAGGCAGGCATTAGAATTAATTTTGTTTCACAGAATATTGATTTGAACAACACATATATTGTACTCACAAAAGATCTGGAAAATCAGGCTGCTATATCAATTTCTTGGAATTAAATAGTATTGAATGATGGTTTTAGTTCTAATATGCCCTGGATTGCACTGCACACCAGGAGTAGCTTTGTCTGCCTCCAGTGATTACTGCAATCAGAATACTATGGTTTGGCTCCATCTCATGGCTTTCTGGTATATATATTGGTAAAGGTCACTAACAACTTTTTGATCAGGTGTTATATGAAGTACTGATACAAGCTATGATGGGAAAGGCATATGAAACTGTAATACAAATACAGTTTGTTATTGCTTATTTAAATTCAAATGTGCATGTTTAAATACTTTACATGTTTAAGTACATTTTATACTTTCATGAATGTTCATTACTGGGTATGCCTTTCAAATATCTACCATACTATATGTTACTCCGAATGCAGTCAGATGTGACAAACATGCAAATGTTCAAATATTAATGATGCAATCTAAAATTCAGCTGAAAAACACTGGTGGTCCGGTTTCATTTTTTCTGCCTTTAACCAAGATCAGTTTTTCCATTCACTGATTTGACTTTGTTATATGAAAATAATTACAGTTTGTTTTCTTGAGATGTATGTACAAGATTTTAGTACAGTTTTTTAAATTGTTGCTAGTTTTTTTTAAACTATTAAATGCAAAACAGTATCTTACTCTGTGTGTATGAGAAGGAAAGATATTACCACAAAACTATCATAAATATGTTATAGTTTTGTGGTAATTTATTTTTCCCCCTTCCTTCCTTCCTTCCTTCCTTCCTTCCTTCCTTCCTTCCTTCCTTCCTTCCTTTCTTCCTTTCTTTCTTTCTTCCTTCCTTTCTTTCTTTTTCTTTCTCTCTCTCTCTCTCTCTCTCACACACACACACAGCGACCCAAAACAATATATACATAAAGTTTCTAATAACCACATTCTCAAGCAGAAACAAAATAATTGCAAAACCAGAACTAAATCACTAAATAAAAATCCTAGAAAAATGTTTGCAATGATTTAGCAATGCAAGATTCAATATTTGCAATGCAAGATTCAATAGAATATTCAATTCTGTATTATAAGTGATTATAGCAAACACTGTGGGAGACACTTGATAGTTACCAAAGTTGAACTTATCATATTATGGCATAGTAATGGCATTTTTAAAGTTATTTTTTGTTGCAGGTAGACATGAATCCAAGATGATCCGAATAAATACAATCAGTTTCACCACTGTCTACTCATAAGTAACAATACATATTGATAGAAGTAAAACTCAACTTCTATGTAATAATAGTGATGTGCTAGAGACTAAGATTTGGCAAAAATATTGTTAAAAGAGGAAAATGTATTATTGAACGGTCAAACCATCTGCAAACCAATTACAGAGGGGTGCTCTTTTTTGTTAGCTGAAGAGTGACTGCCTCAAAAAATGCATCTTCTATAAAAATTAAAGCTTACTGACAATGTGGAAGGCCAGTGGCGATGCTTTCAACGACAATTTCTATTGTACTCATGAGTAATTGACTACCATGAAGAAGAGGATGTACATAAAATAGCACTCTTCCTGAAATGGCCAGAGGAGATGCCTTTGGTGTGCAGAATACATGTATTCCTGATGAAGAAAGAAATAACTAAATCTGTATTGCTAAAATAAAGTAAGGTCTATCATGTGTTCCAAGGAAGAAAATATGAAAGATTTATCATCATATCAGGCTACAAAACAAAAGTGGGACAGTTACATTTGTAATAGGTCTGAAACTAGAAAATAAGTCTTATGACTGATATATTGAATCTTCCATGAATTATGAAGTTGTTTTCAGAATAAAAAATAAAGGAGTACAAGACTGTTTACTTAGTCAGATGAATTTGTCTTTAAAGCACTATTGAGATGATTCATTCACAATACTGGTGCTTTATCTTGAACACACCTCAGAAATCCATAGTGCATATCAGAAAGGTCTATGATTTTGAAATTCATACAGCCATCCATTGAGGTATGGCATGTGTCAACAAATTGGAGACCATTAAAGCAGATGAATTTCTTGAGAAGGCTCATTAAATAATCATATACTACTACCATATCTAGGTGCTTTCAGTTTCAGAATGTAAAGATCTACTTCTTCAAGATCAATGCATCCTCATACTTTATGAATTATATAATTTTATGTAATTCTCATAATTTAGGTCACTTACATGGAGGCCACAGGGATTAAGAAATCCAAGAGACATGCTACAGAGATCTCCTGAACTGTCTTACCATGACCAACACCAACTGTCTTACCTCCACCACCAAATAGATTATTCAGTCTATGGATTGTCAAACATTTCTCTGCTTCCCAGTGGAAACCTTCAGAGATGGGAAGTTTCTTCCTGACTGTATGGAAACAGGCAGGCAGTGACTTGTTTGTATTACATGATAGGCTTTGTTGTTTGTTTGATAATAGACCACTTTTAGAATTATCCAGAAGTAGCTCAACCATAGGATTTATTAACACAACTAACTATTCACTAAATACAACCTATCACAACTTCTGATAATAAATCATAGTCTATAATCTGCAGATGTTGAGATGGAATTGTAGAATCTAATATTCATCACTCCTGAAAAAGGCTACAGAGTCTGAAGGAGATCATTATCATCTTCTTATGAACTAAACTGTATATTCTTTGTTATGTGAGAAATCCCTAGCTAAGATATTTAGTGAATTCAAAGATACACACACAAACACAAATCTTGCCACAATGATACAGCCTTGCCTCTTTATCCAATCTCATTAGATGAAAGTGTCAGACTAAATGTCCAAAAATTTTAAGGATTCAAAGCAAAGTGATGCTACAAAGTTCACAATTTGAAATAGGATCAGTACAGATTTTTCTATATAAATTAAGAGGTTTTCTTCTAGTTCCCTCTGAAAACAAAAATATGCAACAGTCTAGAATTATCATCAGAAGGCTAAGAATAATCAGTATCAACTGAAGGTGACAAAATATACAGATGCCACTATATTAGTTCCACAGAGCAGACATAATCAAAAAGAAAAGCAGAGTAATTAAACAGTGTTGAATTTTGGAGGTTATATTATTATAGAAATAGAGAAGCATGTCAGGAAGTTCCTTTTTCTGTCAGATCACAGTTGAGCCTAAGCTGTAAATCTAAATCAATTCATCTCTTGTAACATTGTCTCTTCATAAATAGAAAATATACTTTGATCCATGAGTAATCATTATTAAGAACCTCTAACTTTGGAACACTAGTTTTAGGAATTAACTGTTTTATGTACTATTCTTTATTCAATATCCTTTTGGTCTCTCTAGTGTTAAATGACAAACCACTTTTAAACAGAGTAAAAAATGTGTTTCAGAATTAGTTACCCAAGTCATCAAAGACAATTTAAAATATATTTTGTTTTTCTCATATATTGCTCAAAATGATCTTGCCCAAAACATCAAAGTTAGTTTAAACCTGGTAAAATGGATATGTTTAGTGAAAAGGATGAAAGAAAAAAATTATGTTAACAGATTTTAAATAAGTATTTTATAATCAAGATCTGAGATATTTTAGGCAATAAAAGAATGTTCACTACTTGTTAAGGAAACCCAACTTATCCCATTCCCTTTGCCTGCCAGAAGCCAACTGGAAGGTTGCAAATGGTGATCACATAGCCCTGGGCACTGCAATTTTTTTTTTTATCACATGATCATGCAGATGTTGTGAAGATCTGCATTTGTGAAGATTGTAAGCATGAGTACCTGTGGTACATCACTTCTTTTCAGTGCCATTGTAACTTCAATTGGTTGCTTAAATAAATGGTTATAGGCCAAGGACTATCAGTACCTCCTTGCCTTCTGAAACAAAAGGAAATAGATGATGTCCTTCTTCCATGCTACATACTTTGTATTTTGTTGGAAGACTGCTCTGAATTATCTCATTATAAGAATAAATATACTATGTCCTTCAATCTCTCTTTAGTTTGTAGTAATCTAGTCATCCTCAATGCTTTTTCAGAATCTTTTTAATTTCTGTGAATCATTCTTAAAGGATTACATCCTCTGAAGAGGGAATCTGACTAAAGCTGAATAAAGAATGATTATTTCTCATGATTTAGAAATTACACTTTGGTTGATGGAACCTAGTACTTTAATTTGCTTTTAAAAGAAACATATAATGGACTTGATTCACATTCAGTTTGCAATCCACTATTACTTCAGGACTTTTTCACAAGTACCATTATCAATCAGGTATCCACTGATATATACAGTGCTTTTTGATTTTATTTCTTGGATCTATTAAATTTCATTCTCTTTACTTTGGGCTCATTTTTCTGTTTTATTAAGATCGATTTAATATTTCTTTATTTCTGAGTATTAGCTATACCATCCAGTTTTTATTATCTGGAAATCTGATAAGCATTCCTTTATTTCTTTATCCAAATAGCAATAGTACGTAGACTTATATACCGCTTTATAGTGCCTTACAGCCCTCTCTAAGTAGTTTACAGCATTTCCCCCAACAATTTGGGTCCTCAATTTACTGAGGATGGAAGGCTGAGTCAACCTTGAGCCAGTAAGACCTGAACTGCCAAACAGCTAGCAGCTAGTGATCAACAGAAGTAGCCTGAAGTACTACATTGTAATCACTGCGCCACTGTGGCTCTTAATAAATTTAGTAGCATCCCATTTGATATCTCTGTCCAGTTTTATGAGGAAACATTAATGATTTGTAGTGTAGTAAATATTCTGTTCTTTAATCACTTATTGATTAATTTTCCCCTTCTTTCTCATTAAAACTTACAATTTTATATGAACTTTTTGAAATCTCTGGAACTGCAATAGGCTTTGTTCTAGAAGAATGAAATAACAATTTAGTATTCTTGATGCTCCTTGCTTTGTTCTTAATTGGCTCCAGAAATCTCAAAAATGTGGATAGAAGATACAATGATTGAAGGAAATAGATTTATATTGATATTCTCAAACATTATCTTAAATTTAGTGTCAGTTTTTTTTTCCACTACTGCAGAGAGGTGAGGAATCCCAGTGTGATATTCTTTAGATCATCTGGTCATCTATGTAGTATTATGCTGAATTTTGTCCTTCCTACAAATTTTCTTGAAAATTGACACTTGTGCAATAGTTGCAATAATTTCATGGAAAGGTTGTGATAGTAAATGAAGATATCTATAATTTCAAAGACCACTGAGACCATGCAGTATATTCTGTATGGATTATAGATGTTGAATCATTGCTTATTATTACATTGCGAGTTACATTCAGGACTATTAGTTCATTTATATGAATATCTGCTTTAAATATGAAGAAACCCATTTGACAAATTGCAAGGTCTATATGTCAAAACAAGTGGTTTTACTATTTTCTTCATAATCCCTTCTTAAATTTAAAATAAAGAGTTTATAAGGAAAGCAAAGAAGGATTATAGATAGATTTACTTGATCAGGATTCTAGCATATACATGTATGTGTCTATAACTGCAGAATTATCAGATCCTATAATCTAACAATTTAATTCATTTCTTTGAAAGATGTTGTATTTCTTTCTAAAGTAAATGATTAGCACACAAATGTCTGAGATATTTTTTTGACCAGGCTATCATACCCTAAAGGCTAATATATTTTAAACTTGTAAGTTAACCCTTTCCTTTAGTTGGAACCAGGTTTTGGCACCTTTATAAATTTCATTGAAGTATCAGTTTTCTTTGTCTTAACTGGCTTGTTGATCACCCAGTTGCATTCATAAAGGATAATGTTTTTAAATAATTCAGAAACTTTAATTCATTCCTATCTGCATTAGGATTTGAAACACAAGGCTACCTTCTGACACTGTCATTCAAAAAGGCCTTTAACATAGTATAACCAGCTAGAACAGAAGAAAGACGTATTATGACCCATGTTTTGAACATGTTCTTTGTCACTTCATGGTTTCATAGTCTTCGCCATTTTGTTGGCTGATACATAAAAGCTCTTATTTTAAAAAAAAGAAATATCCCCAGTTTGGCCTGCTATGGGATCATTTTCCATAAAATTTTGTACTCTCCCTTTCAGATGACATTCACCCTGGTCCTCACTCAGGGGTGAAGAATGGTTTGCCCAAATTTAAGAACCACTGACCTAGGGCTTCTATTGTTTCCTCACAAAATATCTGTAGAATCAATTAACAGCTCACAGAGAGATACATCTTGTGCTAGATTTCTAAGCTTATAGACAAATAACTTGATACATTCAAGTATATGCAGATTTTATGTATGTTAGGTACACATGCATTAACTAGATTCAGAAACTTTCCCTTAATTTTCATTTCACCATGACCTGTTCCGTTTGTTAATATTAAAGTGAGAATAGGCTTATTAATTGTAAATGTTCATAAAAGCCAGCTCTGTATCTCTTTGGTGAAAGGATTATGAATTGCCTCAGTGTTCTGTATTGTGTAAATGCCCTTTTTTAAAAGGGGAGGGGGGAGAAACTTGGGAGGTTGCCTTCTTTTTAAATTAATGTATACACTCTGACCAGTTTCTAAAGATATGACCTCCGTGTAACCTCCTTTAACCTTCCCCTTAATTATTTGTTTGAAGACAGAGTAGTGTTCTCTTACTGAGAATGAAGAACCATAATGCATTGCAGTTCTGTGAGTAAGAGAGAGTTGCAAGGAAGTGGAGGGGGACATAAACAAGAGGACCACCAGATATAAATTAAAAAAATGGTTGGAAATGAAATAAAAACTGAAAAAACAATTTAATTTACCTTATGAATTACTTATGAATGAAAGTTGAAGAAGCAAAGATTGGCAAGGCTCTAAAGTAGAGGAGAGTCTGTTGTGTGTTACCAGTCCCAGTACAGTATGCTCTTCTTTAGTTCTGTAAACCTTGCCATCTGTATACATCATTAAAAGCTCATTGAAAAGAAAACAGTCTTATCAGGCTTTTCTGCTAATCTCTTGGCATTAAGTTCAGCTGATAAAAGGCATGCTGGATGCAGAAGCTCAGGTCAATTTCAATTTGGTCAGTGTGGCAACTTATTGGAAAGGAGCTAAGGAAAATAGTAGCAAAGGTTTTTGTCTTGAAGCAATATAGAAATATGGAAGTCAGAATATTTTGTTTAACTAGATTGGCAGAATTATTCTCTATAAAAATGAACTATAAAAGCAGACTTTATTCATGGAAAATTGCCTTTGACTAATTATAATATTTTTCCCACAATTGAGGTAGAGGATGTTTACCTTTTCCATATCATGTCCCAGCTGTCATATACAAACACATAGAAGAGGTAGAGTTGTCTGGAAGTTGAATCATGGCAACTACTTATACAAGTAGCTTCTTCAGTCTTAGACAAGCAGCAAAATGTTTTGAACCAAAAAGAAAGAAGTCCAGTTGCCATGACTCAACTTCCAGGCAGGGCTACCTGATGACTGAAAATCTTCTTCAACCAAGAGGTAGAGTTGTATGCACTGCCCTGACTCAGTTTTTCTGTTCATATTCCTTCTAGATTGAACAACAAGGCTGAAGGGGAATTCTGCTTCCATAAACTTGAATATGGGTATAACTTTTAATTGTGATTGGAAATCTTAAGGTATACCCAGACTTAAAGCTGATCCTGTTCTGTGCTCCTTCCAGCTTGTCTATAAACCACCCTAAGAAAATCCTGTCCTGACTGAGACACTTTGGCAACAACTTCCAAGGTATTCAGTCCAGTCAGCAGGTTACCACATCAGGCTTC